GAGACTTAATGAATGTCTAGAATCCGTTTCTAAATATTCGCAAAATCACAGCCTAAAACTGAACCCGAATAAGTCAGCTATTATATACTTTGGACCAGCCAAGAATTGGGACAGCTCAGAGTTTGAACGTGTCAATAAATGGTGTAAGAATCCATATTGTTGATGAGTACAAAAATTTAGGTGTAGTGTTCGACAGCACACTTTGATTTCGTATTCAAGTATCAAAGGTTCTCCAAAAAGGCTATATTAATTTCCGCAACATCTATAAAAGCAAAGATGTTCTGAACTTTGGGTTAAAAACATTATGCGAAGCACTTGTCTTAAGTCATTTGAATTACTGTAATCTTGTATATGGACCTTGTATGGATGTTTCAACCAAATTCAAATTACAAAAAGTTCAGAACTCTTGCATTCGCTTTATTTACAACCTAAAACGTAGTGATCACATGAGCCACAAACTTCATGATCTAAAGTGGCTAAATATATCGGATCGACAAAGACTTCATTTTGCTTGCTCCTTGCATAAATTAATTAAATCTGAGAGCCCTTCCTATTTGTTCTTATATCTATCTTGTTGTGTTTGTTGCTTCCTATTAACACGTAGGGACAGTATTTATCCACGCGAAACTCGTTTTAATACGCACTATCAAATACCCAAAATTAATAAAGCGATGACCCAGAGCTGCTTCTCATATACATCAGTTCTTATATCATCATTACTCATATACAATTGCTTAACCAATATCCCATTATCAGTCAATCAAGCAATATCTCGTTTTGCACATTTAATTCAAAATTTAAAAAGCATCTTTTACAGATAAATAACTAGATGGCTATCTTTTTTGTTTTTTTTGTCTTATTTCGTAGTATATTATGAAAGGTACATAATATCGTGAAACTTTTTATTTTTATTGTAATCTTATAATTGTATTTTTTTAATGCTCGGTTAAACTAACAGCTCAGCTGAATTTCGCCGGGTTAAAAATAAAGGCGTTTTTATTTATTATCTATTTTAAGCAGAGTTAAAAATATTTTAGAAAAATATATATTTATCAGTGTAAGAAATAGAAAGCAATAAGTATAGGTATAAGCAGATCAAATGACAAAATGTAATAGGAAACTTGAACGCAATTCAAATTTCTCATAAACGTAAATTAATACTTAATAAAAAAAACACAGTTCCCATAAGAGTACCTTCATTTGTGACAAAATCGAGAATTGTTATTAAGAAAAGTTGATTACAATTGAAAAACACGTTCAAATATCCAATTACGCCTATCTACGTTGAAAATCAGTTTTTGTTATTTTTACAATTTTCTTATTCTTTTATGAAGAAAATTGATTAAAAAAGATGAAGGATAACTTTTTCTCGTAAAATTAATAATAAAATATTTGTATATATGAATTGAACAAATAAATTGTAAAAAATAACAACACTTTTCTATCATGGATAAGCGTAATTGGATATTTGAACGTATTTTTCAATTATTGTATGAACTTTTCTCAATAACATTTTTGTGACGTCAATTAGTGTCAGTGACAACCAAAAAGTTGACAAAACTTGGACAATTTGACACAACTTTGACTAGTTAACGTATAGGGCCATCTAACCTATAACAACTTTTCCGACTGGGGTCTGTGGTCGCGTGGGGTGGGCCGTATCGATCAAAAGACTATTAAAAATATACGACAACACGATCGCCCCTGCGCGTTCAGTGTCGTTTAAATTAATATTCGGATGTCACAACTTAAATATTGCGTTTTGAGATCTGATATTTGGTATGCGTTGTTTCTATACATAGACAAATGTATTAAAGAAATAAAGAAAAATGTTCCCTATTTAAAATAATGTTGACACATTCTATGTTTATTTTATGTTTGTTCTGTGTTGTATTTACCTAATTATATTTTGTAATACATTATATTTTTTAATGTTTCCTATATATGTATTTTATTAATAACCAGCAAAGTGGGGTCTATGGTTGAACGTTTATGTTAACAACTTAACGCACACATTAATTCCAGTAACAAATGTCACCACAGGTAAATTGAAAAAAAAAGCAGTTAATGGAAACTCGTCAGTGGATGTTCAGTTTTTACCAACAGAATCTGTCAGCTAATTTAAAAATTTAAAATACTATCAGATAGCCCTAATAAAGTGGCTATGAGAATGTGCAATAAGTTTTTTAATTTTCTAAAAAGTAACGACTTTTGTGTATCCACTTGCGGCTAAAGTCTAATCTTCTTGGCAGATTTCTCTTGGGAAATATTGTTAAAGATGTGTCAAGAGTTATTTCAACTTTAAAAAATAAAGGTAGAAAAAAGATTTTGCATACCAGATACATGTGCTGGTATGGCCAGAATGGAAACGCCACATACCAGTTAAATGTGTCTGGTGTTGTAACTTTGAACAAGATACCCTCGACTGGTACCGCAGCGAACGTGTTAGAGGACGTATTAGGGATCTGTCCTTCGTCAAGTTTAGAGGGGATCGATACTGATATTATAATAGAAGTGGACAAAATCTCCAGACTCCCGTCAGCTCACTGAGGTCCGATGTGGACCCGGAGCCATAACCAGGGACATCGAGAGCATCAATGAGAACATCCAGATCTACTCAGAGTGCCGAGAGCAACTGTGATGATTTGTTTTTCCAAAAACAAATGTGTTTAATGACTGATTTTTTTAAGAAGCAGGAAGAATCTCAAGAAAGAGCAGCTAGAGCAAGGTTAGAAAATTTAAAAAATATGCTGGCAACGTTTTCAAAAACGATTGTTAAAACAAAAATATCAGGGATTCATGAAGCTGAATTATAAAATATTACTTCGCCTACCTCTTCAATATATTCTCAAGCTCATGAAATAAATATGCTATTTTTGTACTGTTTTTTTTTAATTATAACAATAAATATTTTACTAAAGCTTAAAGTTACACCAATCTTGATTTTCTCATTGGAAATGTAAGCATATATTGTTTGAGAATATCCCGTACTTGACCTCCTTCGAGGCTGTTATGTTCTCTTGTTACGGTTCTTGGTGGTTGAGGAAACATTAATTCAGCTTCCTCGATAGCTTCAATTCAGTTTTGCACAAATTGATCTTTGTCTCGATAATATTAAACAAGTATAAACAACTTTTGGCGTAAACTCATAATTAATATCAATGCGTTTTAATAAACACCGGAAACGTGCCTAATCTCCGAAATGCATTTTCATTTTTAATGCTACCTAAAATTCAAAATTTTAAGTTTGTAACACTTCTAGAAGTACCTTAGAATTTTGATGACGGTGAAAGAATCACCACGTAAGTCACTGACGAAGACAAAGAAGTTTGAGTGGCACTAATTCATAATTCTTGAATTATTGTTGTTACACGCCCATTGTTAGTTAATAATAGAAAGTTAGTTAGCTTTTTTGTTAGTTAAAAATAATTAGAGATCATATAATTAAGTGATCATTAAACTAAAGTGGTAGTGGTTGTGTAATATAAGCAAAGTAAGTAATATTTTTTTTAGGGAACAAACACCAGTATTGTTAGTAGTCAAAGTAACTAGTATAGCTCTCTCATAACTAGAAGCTCAGGAAAAAAAACTAAGCTCGCTGTCTACTGGAGCTCGGCGGGGCGTAAGGTCTTTTTCAGAAACCATACGCCCCATGTACGTGAGCCGCAGATCCTAATTTCTCGGGTTTTACGGCCGTATGTATCAAATTAGGAAGGCGTACGGCTCTTCTCGAGCAGACGTACGGCTTGATTTGAGCAGACGTACGGCCCGATTTAGGCAGACGTACGGCCCGCTTCGAGCAGACGTACGACCTGATTCAAACAGACGTACGGCTCGATCCGAGCAGACGTATGGACCGATTCGGACAGACGTACGGCCCGATTCGAGTCGACGTGCAACCCTATTTGAGGAAACAGCCCGAATTATTTAACGCAATGCGCCCATGATTTTACTCACTTGATTAATTGTTGGTGCGTTGTTTCAGATGTCGACTGAGGCTGAATCTACCAAACCAGTATGCAGCCTACTAAATATACCAGCGGAAAATGAGGAAGATCAAAAAGTCCTCAATAATTTAAAGGTCTGGCATCCGAGGCCTTACCGGAAGGTTGGAAGAATTGGAAAGTGGCCTGTGTGGATAGAGAAACTTCATTGGTTTTAAGGAAATAGACCCGCAGATCAACAAGATTCGTTTTGCTTTTCTCACCATCGGCATCGCCAAGGCTTTTAATGAGGGCGCACGCAGCTTACGTGAACGTGTTTATAGGGACTACAAAACAAAAATGTTATCCTGGAGTAGAGGTAGAAGGCCGATTCTGCGCCAGGAGCAGGAGCAGTGGCCGATTGAGCGCGCTGCGCATGCGCGAGGAGGAGGGGTACAGCGCAGGCGCGAGGAGGAGGGGGGCTGTCAAACGTCAAATGTCAAACGTCACCTGTCAAATGTCAAACGTCATCTGTCACATGTCAAACATCATCTGTCATACATCAAACCTGTCATCTGTCAAACGTCAAATGTCAAACGTCAAACCCGTCAAACGTCATATGTCAAATATCAAACGTCAAACGTCAATCTATCTTACGTCATGCTTATTATATACAGAGTGTTAATGAAAAACAAATGCTTTTACGTCATATATTGTTTTTTTTTCACACCCGGTATATATTGTTTTTTTCACACCTGGTATATATTGTTTTTTTTCACACCTGGTATATATTCCAAAAAAAAATCTTTCCATGTTTTTTAACACAGATGATGATAATTTTTAACGTTTGGCGATTGGGTTTTAATTACTAATGCCTTTTGGGTATTCGTAAATAATAATATTTATTTAAATGGTAAAAATAAATCAAACTTGGTTCAAAATCAACGATGAAAGAGAGAGCGATGTGAACAGGGCAATGGTTTACAGTAAAATGACCTAATACTTCAATTTTTACGACTCCCTCTCATGATGTCATGCTTTTGTTTTTTCTAGAAGATCAATTTTTGTGATAAATATTTAAGTAAAATAAAATAAATCAAACTTAGTGCAAAATACATTGTGCAACAATTATTCCTTATCAGAGTTTGCGGTCGGTATTATTTTTAATTAGACTTTGCAGTTTCCGGTATGATGACTATGATGTCACGCATTTGTTTTTCTAGAAAATTCTAGATCAATTTTAGCGATAAATATTTAAGTAAAAATAAAATAAATCAAACTTAGTGCTAAGACATTGTGTAGCAACTGGCGTTATCAGTTTGCGGTTTTCCGGTCTAGCATTGTACCCAGCAAACAACTCGCAATTCACGTCAGTCTCTACTTGCCTCTCGTCGAAATTAGTCGATTCGCTCTCTAAAAAATAAAAAATGTTTCTATGCAGCGTTTGTGGGAAATTGTGTTCCTATAAGAGGAATTTGACAAGACATACGAAGATTTGTAATGGTGAGTTTTTATTTTATTTTTATATTGTGCAATATTAAATGTTTTTTCTATTTTTTAGCCGATCAAATCAAAAATGCCACGCCCCAAACCGACTCGAACAACGGTGTTAGCCCTAGTAAACGTAAGTAATTATTTTTATTTTATGTTCTGGCTTTAAAAACGCTTTTTATTTTAGATACGTGCGAGAAATGCTTGAAAACATTCAGCCGAAAGGATAATTTAAAACAACACCGCAGGATTTGCAAAGGAGCCCTCAACGGTGAGTTATTATTTTATTTTTTTTATTTTATATTAAATGGTTTTTTCTATTTTATTTTAGCCAATCAACCTGAACCAAAAAATTTAGAGACGGTATCCCTGAAAAGAACAAGCTCTCCCACTAACAGTAAGTAATTATTTGTTTTTTCATTACTTTTTAAACTAATTAATTATTTTTTAACATATTCAACTATTATTTTTAACTTTTTTTCAATTATTTAAACTAATTAACTATTTAACATATATTTCTATTATTTTTAACAGAAAGCATCTATTTTATATTAAATATTTTTTTTCTTTTATTTTAGTCAATCAGGCAGAGTCAAAGTCTTCGGTGTCAAAGAGAGCTAGATTTGGTTTCAATAACGGTAAGTTATTATTATTTTTTTTATACACCTTTTAAATTAAAATGTATTTTTTAGAACACTTGGTAATGCAGGAGGAAGGTGTTTACCTTGTAAATACCGCATATAAAAACCGAATTGCTACATATCGGCTTTTATCGAATAAAAACATTACCAGCGTTAATGATTTTTTAAATAATCTCCGTGAAAACATCATTTCGCTGGTAAGATGCTAAATCGAAAGGTTTGGTAATGTGAAAGTCGGTATGGAGTTATTTGGTCGCTTCCTCCTGCAGACAAAGGAGGTGCAAGAGACCAAGTCCTTTGGCTCGCGTTTCAGGGAGGCAAGCTAGGGCACCGATTTGGAGGAGCTGTTTGATCAGTTCGCCACTATCATCAAGCGGAGATTCCAGGAGTTTAATGAAAAAGATAGTGGTAAGTATATATTTTTTTCTGTTTTTCACCATACTAATTATTTTTTCATGTACATTAGGTTGGACTCTTCAGCAACTCCTCCACGTAGATGTAAGGGTAAATAAAATCAACCCACTAAAAGCCTCATCTTACATACCATTACCGAAGGAAATAGAAGCGAAAAGGGCTGTGTTGAACATACGAAACACTGACCAGAAATGTTTTATATGGTCGGTTTTAGCCGCCTTTCACCCAGTTCCCCGAACTCAACACGCCAACCGAGTCCAGAATTATCATCCATTTGAGCAGGAATTGGATGTGACAGGTATAGATTTTCCGATATCTTTGAAACAGGTGTCAAAATTCGAACAACTCAATAATATTTCTATTAATGTTTATGGACTCGAGAAGGGTTATAAACATGATAGGAATATTATTGAAGTTGTGGGTCCTTTGTATTTTACTAGATCTCATAAGACAGATAGACGTGTGAATTTGTTATTAATCAGTGATGATTCTGGCAATAATCATTACTGTTTAATAAGAAATATGTCTCGCCTAATCTCCAAACAACTTTCAGGCAAACAACATTCAAAATTCTTATGCGATGGTTGCTTGGTTTATTTTTCTTCAGATATTAAATTAGAAAATCATCAAAAATACGATTGTGGTCACGTTGTAGTTGAAACTCCTTCGGATAATTTAAAGAAAAATAAATATGGTGAAAATATTCCCGAGAATATCCTTAAATTTACGAATTTCGAACGAAAATTAAAAGTACCTTTTGTTGTATACGCTGATTTTGAAACTATTTTGGAACCTATACAAACAGAGCAAAACGAGTTGGATCCTGAAATTTCCTATACGGTGAAAACACACAACACGTTCCTTATTCTTTTGCCTATTACATTAAATGCGATTTTGATAATTCTCAGTCGATTTTCAAGACTTTTAGGGGACCTGATGCACATAAAGTTTTCATAGATTGGTTAGAGACTGATTGTAAATCAATCTACAATCGATTTATGAAAAATATTGTATCCATGTCTCCTCTCAGTAGTGTACAAGAAGCTGAGTTTTATCAGATGACACACTGTCATATTTGTGAATCTCCATTTAATGTAGAAGATGACAGAGTAAGGGACCACTGTCATCTAACGGGGAGATATCGAGGTGCGGCTCACTCTGTTTGTAACCTAAATTTTAAAGTACCTAACTTTATTCCTGTGTTCTTCCACAACATGTCAAATTTTGACAGCCATCTTTTTATAAAAGAATTGGCTGTGGAGGAAGAACGATTGGACGTCGTCCCCCAAAACAAAGAAAAATATATTTCTTTTACCAAATATATTATGGTGGGGGACAACGATGACCAGGAAAAGCGACAACAAAAGTTATTTTTAAAACTAAGATTTTTAGACAGTTTCCGCTTTATGGCCTCCAGTTTGGATAAACTAAGTCAAAATTTAACGTCTCAACAGTGTTGCGAGGTTAGGAAGTTTTTCCCTAACGAAGAAGAATTTAAGGTTATTCGTATGAAGGGTGTTTTCCCATATTCGTACGTAGATTCTTTTTCCAAATTAGACGATACCAAGCTTCCACCCATTGATGGTTTCTATAACGAACTTAGAAAAGAAGCCATCAAACAAGGAGATTACGAGCGTGCATTGAACGTATGGAATTTATTTAAATGTCAAACTTTAGGCGAATATTCAGAATATATTTAAAATCCGACGTACTATTATTAACTGATATTTTGAGAATTTTAGAGAAAAGTGTCTACAAACATACGGTCTAGATCCTTGTCAATACTTCACCGCACCATCTCTATCCTTTGACGCGGCTTTAAAACTACATCTATCGAGCTGGAATTATTGACAGATCTAGACATGATATGTTTCTTTAAACACGGGATTCGCGGCGGTGTCAGTCAATGTAATGTTAGAAAAGCTATCGCGAATAACAAATTTATGTCTATATACGACGCTTCCAAACCTACTTCCTACATTATGTACTTGGATGCTACCAATTTATATGGAGCAGCCAAGGGAAACTTATGAATAACGCTGTATTTGGAAAAACAATGGAGAACGTGGAGAAACGGGTAAATATTAAGTTAGTTACCCACTGGGAAAATATTGGTAGAAAGCTAGGGACAGAAGCGTACATTTCCAAACCGCATTTTAAAGACTTGACGATTTTTAGTGAAAAGTAGTCACCAATTTATATGGCTAAACAGAAAATCGTATATAATAAACCTATTTACATGTAGGTTTCTTTCAATTCCTTGGAAATTTCCAAAACTATTATGTATGATTTTTTTTTGTATAGCTATATTAAACCAAAGTACGGTAATAAAGCTTCACTGCTCTACACTGACACCGATTCTCTAATTTACAAAATTCAAAACCGACAATTTTATGATGACATGCGCGAAAATTTAGATAGATTCGATACGTCAAATGACTCAGAAAACAACCCACATAATATTCCTGTAAATTCGTCTGTGTTGGGCCGTATGAAGGGATGAATATGCAGGAAAAATTTTGTGGGAGTTTTATGGAACTGGGGCTAAAGCATATTGTGTAAATGTAGATGGTGAGTTAACGAAAAAGGCCAAAGGCGTGCCTGACTACATCACCAAACAAGATATTAGTTTGGATGATTATAAAAACACGGTCGATGTAGCAGGTACGAAAATCTATGATCGCTCGATGAACACTTTCCGTTCACATTTACACAATATGTATGTAGAGCTAAAAAATAAGATAGTCTTATCCTACGCGGACAATAAGAGATTTCTTATTCCCAATTCCAGTACACACGCTCGCATGGGGCCATAAAGATTCTAGGGAAATATAGGGATGAATAATCTGAAAATCCATAGAGGCCGAAACCAAGGGCAGCTATTTTTTACTTCTATTTCCTTCGATATTTTTATTTATTTATTAATATTTAGTTACTTTCATGTTTAAGAGGATGGGTTAATTTTATTTTTTGTATTTTAGTGTATTTTATTTAGAGTATTATATTCAATATATTTTAGCTTAATATATATAACATATTTATATTGTATACAAATTTTTTATATTATTATTATATTTTTTAAGTTATTATTATATTATTTTTTATGTTATTTTTTATATATTATTTTTTATTTAGAGTATTATATTCAATATATTTTTTATATATATAAATATATATATATATATATATATATATAAATATATATATATATATATATATATATATATATATATATATATATATATATATATATATATATATATATATATATATATATAACATATTTATAATGTATACAAATTTAGGCGTTTTCTACTATGTCTACTGTTTGATTTAAGCTTTTCAATAGCTGCATTCAAATTTAGTAATTTTTTCCTAACATAAATAATTATTTTTATTAAATATATTTATTTTATACATGTATTTAACAGTACTGAAAAACATTTTTCAATCTTTTATATTGTACAAGACTGATTTTATAAAAAAAAAAATATTTAGAGTATTATAAATAAAACAATTTTTTCATTTCACTGTGTATTTATTTTCCACATTTCTCTCATCTAGTAAATTATAAAAAATAGGTAAACAGCATTTAAATAACAATATACAATCATCTTCCCAATCAATATAAGTTTTCCATTTCCTATCTTGAATTATCAACACTTTCACTTCTTCTTCAAAAGCATAAGTTATGTTTAAATGTCCATCAATTTCTATAGATTTATCACACCAACCACTATTAACGTTTTCATCAACAAAGTCTAGAAACGTTGAAAAACCTTCATATGACATTTGAATCTTCTTCTTCTTGTTTGTACTTTGGAAAACAATTTGCTTTTCTGCCAAGTTCTCGGAAATGTTTAATGCTACATTAATTATTGGTTCTAATACACTTGATTTATCCGTAACGATTTGATGATGAGAGCGATGTGAACAAGACAATGGTTTACAGTAAAATGAGCTAATATTAATCTATGAGCTAATAAGTAAAAAAATATTGGATATTAATAGATTTAAATTTATTGAGTTAAAAGGTTTATAATATAATCATATAATATATGAGCATTATTTACAGTACAAGAACATATTTCTAGTCTATGATAATTTCAATTATTACTGTATGATTGTTCTAATTTCGGTACAGGTCCAGAAGTAAATTACAAGTTCAATATACAGGGTGGATCAAGATTCATTTCGTTGTACGTACACAGCAGAAATTCCTTTTTAATATATCCTTTAACGAAAACCATATCATCACCTTCCAATTCCTCTTTTACATGTGCTCTTCCTTATCGGTGGAAATAGTTTAGAAATAAAATTTACATATTTCCAGCTTTTGCTTGAATTAATGCGTTTATCCTGATTAAACTTACGTCTATGTGCGTTTGTCAATAGCAGTATAAACTTATAATTCTCTAAATCTATTTCGGAGTACTCAGTAGGATGCGATTGAGTAAGAAGATTCAATAATCCGCTCGTAAGTTCCAATTTTTCATCTTTAATCGCTAGATACCCATCATCATCATCATCATCTTGAACTTCAAATGGTTCGTTACCAATAAGCAGACGTTTGTTCGCCCTTCTAATACCAAATACATTTTGGTCTGGTATATCCAAGAGTTTTAACCTACAGCGTTGTCGTTCCATGATCGATGACGTACTAATGATACCTTTCATAAGAATATGTAGTATTTATAACTAACGCAACACTATCCTAACGGGTCCCCATCGCTAATGCAATACAGACTCGATCGAACAGACCTGATTGAACGGCCCCTGTTGGATCCCGATTGAAACAGACCTGATTGAAACAAACCTGATTGAAACAGACCTGATTGAAACAGACCTGTTGGACCTGATTGAAACAGACCCGATTGCAACAGACCCGATTGCAACAGACCTTATTGAACGGCCCTGTTGAGTCTTAGACCCTGCTGATTCTAAACCCGCTAGTAGTTAGCAGATCAATTTAAGTATCTATTTTGAATTTTTATATTAACGTTACCCATATAGCTTGATCACCCTGTAATACATTTATTACCGATTCGGGTTTTTTCAGAGTTATTTACAGTAGTCTAGGTATGTAGAGAGGTATTTATAGTAATGGTTCTTACGTATATTGATAGTTTGAAATCTTTTCTATGTTGTAATATCTCACACTGTACATAT